CTGCATTAGAGAAACTGTTATTTTTTTCTAACTTATTAGTGACTTGACTTACCTAATATAAGTTTAAACTGAATATATACTTGCAGGTATCTGAAGGGATGGACTTCTCAGACGACAAAGCTCGAGTTGTTGTATCCTGGCACATTTTATCTTTGAGCTCTGATGATTATCCTGATGTTGTAACATAATTGTATACCCTGCATTCACTTAAGTCCTGTTTAATGATTTGTTATTGTTATCAGTATGAGAGTTCATGTCAAGTCCGAATAACAGTTTGCTGAATTAGCCTGATTGACTGAGTGGTGAACTTTATTATATTGTGTCTGACCAAAATTTAGATAATTAGCACTGTTAAATGTTACGCTTTAACCATCTCAGGTAGTTGTTGGGATTCCCTTTCCTAACATGTAAGTATTCTTCTTACCTTAATTTTATTAGTGATTAGATTTATTTGTTCTATGGTAATTCATTTGTCTACGTTGCCAGTTATGATGTCAAAGTTGCACAAAAGAAGAAGTTCAATGACACATATGTGTCATCTAAAAACCTTTTAAGCGGGAATGAGTGGTACTGTCAGCAAGCCTTTCGGGCTCTAAACCAAGCTACAGGTAGTTTTTTTAACAACTACCTATGAACCATTATGTCTTAAGATTTTTTTTTTTCTAATTCTATGTGTCTGAAACTCGGTGGAGTGGATGGTTGTATTCAGAGTGTTGTACTTGTACTTCAACTCTTTTAAAAAATTCACTTTGTCATTACCTTTTCCGCATATTATACCTGTTCACCTGTTTGCTTCGGCACCACTCTGTGGGTAAGCTTCAGTAGTTTCTAATTTTACATTACATCTTTTGGGCCTGCTATTGAATGACAAGTTTTCTAGAACGTAGTTTCATTCAATTTTTCAATTTCATAATGCATACATATTGCTCTTTCTGTTGATATTTTGCAGAATGTGAAGCTTTAACATCGCACTCGAACAAACCTTGTTCTACCAAAATGGCTCTACTTTCTCTGACTAAAGATCCAATAATTTGCCAGAAAAATATATTGGGATTAATCAAACTTTGTGCCGTCAAATATTTCTAACCTATCAATGTGCATAATAACTTACATTTTCTTCACTTCCTACTTCAACTTCAGTGTTGTTTTGCCCATTTTCTCCCAGAAGCCCAGTTTTTCTACTTTTCTGATGCCTGTTTACTGCATAATGATGCACGGAAGAGTTGATAGGAATCTAGAGGTGCATTAACTGAATCAACTCTAATTAGAAATATTATAAAACTTCCTAAATTGTTTGATTAGAATGCATGGATATCTCTTAGTGGTCTAATGAAATTTTATTGTCGAACATGTTTTGCCCATGTCATGTGGAAAACATGGAAACAAGTGACGGAGCATGTGAAGTTGTGAACTGTGATTCATTCTCATAGCATGATTATTGTTAAAATGTGGGTCCTATGTTTATGATGTGAATGATGTGTTCTCTTTGCTAAAGCTCTGTTGATGTAAAAATTAAATCACTCACATTCACTATTTTAATTTGCCTCATTTTCTTGGATGTCTTTGTCATGTTCGAAATTTTTCTTAAGCATGATGCATATTTCTTTCAATTTTGTAGGTCGTTGCATACGACACAGATTTGACTATGGAGCTGTAATTTTCTTAGGTAATCGTTTGATCTTCTAATTCTAAAGCAACATTGTGTATCATTCTCTTTTCATTTTCATTGTTCTCCTGTGCATACTCGACAAATTTTTATCGAACAAGTTTGCCTGCATTTGGTTATGGTTTAGCCTTTTGGGAGGTCCAATCTCCACAATAGGGCGCTGAAAACTGAGCAGATTCTTCAAAATGTTTTGATAGTCATTCATTAATACTTTTCTACTTTTATATTGTTTTTCGAACTTAACAATGTAACATTCTCTTTTTGCAGATGAGCGGTTCCATAGAGATAGAAATAGAACATACATATCAAAGTGGTTGCGCAACTCAATTAGGTTGTACAGCTCCTTTGAGGAATCACTTGACGGATTGAAATCCTTTTTCAATGATGTGAAGGTATATAAATTAGAGGCTTACATTTAGTATCGGATAGTATTATGCAAATTGTTATGTTTGCGTCCTTGACTTTCCTGAATGCAGGTCCGTATTGGTGTTGCTGCAAACTCATCAAAAGATCCTGAGGCAGAGAGTGAGAAAATCAAATCCGTGGATAAGAAAAAGTCCACTCGGAAGAAAAATGTTAATGTAAGAG